GCTGTCCTTCCCTTCTGGAAGCTGTCAGTCTCCGCATCCCTGCTCGGAATCTGAGAGATTTTTCTATGTTCAGTTTTAGCCCTTTGATCAAAAACAGTCCTTCTGCTAGATGCGCATCAGCTGCTAATGTTGTCTGTTGACGAAAACTGTCACACTTCTTCACATTCTATAATAGTATGATTCACTTAATTGATTTAAATTATTTTTACAAATATGCAAATATATTTAGTTGCAATTTTCTTGTGTATTAATGTCCTCTGTATTAATGTATTTTATATTCTGCTTGTTTCACCTTTTATGTTTTTATTGTGTTCGTGTGCTCATCTCTGTGCTGTATCTGTAATTGGCCATCAGGCTGTTGATACAGCACACTAATAATAAAGAATTGAATTTTCTTTATTTCTATTTTGTAACTCTTTATGTTTCTAATTAAAATTAACACGTATGATATCTTGTTTTATTATTTTCTTATTTTATTTTATGTTATGTATCATATAATCCATAATGCACACATACAGTATCATAAAACATACTGTATAGACCATTCAATGTTTAGTACATGGTTTTAATGCTTTAAAATGGCTGCTAACGTATACGATACGTATCGTAAAAGCTCAGGAATGCAAGATACACATAACAAACATCTTGGAACGGAACTTGTTTGTAAACCGAGAGTTGCCTGTACAAGGCTTTGCAGCTCTTCAAAATAAAACATACCTGTTTTCATTTGATTTAAAAATGAACATAAAATGAACACAATTGTATTTATCTGTAGTCCTTGAAACATGGTACAGTACACAATATATCAATGCAATATACCCAAAGGTACTATACTAGGATTTTCCTACTACTAAGGAAAACTACAAAAACCCTGTCATGTTACTTGGTACTCAGCTAACATTTAAACCACGTACATCCCAAACACAAGTCAGGGGTGTTGCTGCTACACCAAAGTGTTCAGTTAGAGACAATGAAGTTCAAGAGATAAGAAATATAATTTGTTCATGATAACATTTATATATATGAATACTACTTTTTCAGTAACTGCACTCACCAATGACTGGCACACATATATGAAACATGTTCCCTCAGTAAGTGGATAAATTAATATTGATAATATAATAAGATATTTGCAACCAAAGGAGAGGACACATTTGAGAATCCACAGGTGGATCAGATTCATATATAAATGGTGCAGGAAATGTATCGCAAGTTTGAGTCTTAAGTTTCAGATTTGATAAGATTTAATATATTTATTATTCAAAACTTTTTACTTACCAAGAATCCAGCAAATGAAGTCATAAAACCTTCTTTTGTCAATTCCCATGCACCTCCATATTCTTCTTCATCCACACCTTGAAAGTTTGTGAAATACATGTAAACCAATCCAGCGTTGACCAGTACAAACCTATGGCAAGATTAACAATACAGTTTAAACTCTTTCTTCAATGCAGCAAAATGTGATATTTTAAGGTTAGGTTCCAAATTAAATCAACTAAAATTTTCACGGAATTCAAAGAAAAACATTACTCAGCTGAAAGTAAACTGGTACTTACAATAACAATGCAATGAAGCCTTTCAATGGAATGAGTCCCCACAGCAAGCCAATAATTATTCCTAAGGCCTGCCTGAACCAATAAATAACATCCAAGAATTCCTCCTGGAAGAGATTGTCTCAGTAATTACTACACATTCATAACATAAAAATGTGACAAACTGTATTTCTTGTTAAAGTATTTATATAAGCACCAACAAATACCTTATCTGGCCATTCTGAATTACATGTGAATGCCCTATTCCAAACTGAATCCACTGCATGTGGCTTAACTGTTGAACCATTCTTTTCGAAACTCTTTGACTTTGATGTCATCTTGTGACATACGTATTAAATTAATTTTCTTAAATTTATTAAAATGCCTCACAGCCTTTTTTGCGGTATCAAATTAATTATAACATTACTGTGAGGAATACCAATTTCAACAGATGAAATACATACACTACGCAGCCATCTTTAAATAAACGAGAAGGTTCTGCCCATAGATTAACACCTTCTGATTAATACCCCTCTGAAGTAATCTCAGAGGTTAAAATAAAATATTTATGCTCAATTTTATAAATTGCCACAGGACT